GTTCTATACATATTTATGCCCTTTGTGTTAAAAAAAAACATCAGCTTTGACATTGTCCTATCAGGGCCAGATACACAAGTAAAAAGCTATGTAAGTTGTTGCTTAGGGCCTTGACTTTCAAGGAGCCTCAAGCATTTGTACAAAAAAGAAAATTGAAGTCAAATTTTGTAATAAACATTTTTTTACAAACCAACAAAATATACTTTACTTTTTATTTTGTATAGTATTTCATTAATTTTTTTTCTAAGAATTAACATAACATCTTTTTTAAAAAAATTGATAAAAAACGATTTTTAATGGAATGGGTATAAAAATTTAATTAAATTCAGTTATAAAACAGAAGACTTTTGAAACCTTACGTCTTTTTCTTCCATATCCATATTAAATCAGAGTCATAGTCTGATTTAATTCTTTTCTTTTTATGATTGACTTCTAAAATTGCAAAGAGTTGGTAAGGGGCCTTAGAGTTCAGCTTGAAAATGCTTAAATCCGACCCTCTGTCCCACACAAAATCACCAGCATTTTAAACCTTAAGAAAATATGTTTTAAAATTGACAGAATAACTTGTTCACGTAAAGCTGAACAATCGGGAAAACTGCCAATTCTTAACAATTTAATCCATTCTTTCAGAATTCAGAGAAGCTCAAAAATATAACCAACCAATTTCTGAATAATCATCTGTTTTTCGTGGGGTAATAGACAAAAACTTATATCAGGCTCCCTTAAGGCTTTGAAATTGCAATTTGGAACACAACAGAAAGCTTTGATTTTCTATCACTATTCATCTTTACTGTTGATAATACACAAGAATGAATCAAATGACCCAGATAGAATAGTTTTGTTTTTGAACACCAGAGGGAGAGCATCTGGTGAAAAATGCAAATAGTTTTACAGAAAAATAAATATTTCACTTCAACAGTGATTTAAACAATATAAAAACATGTAATGTTTTGTCTTAGAAAGTATCATTTGAATCATATATAATGCAAAAGTCAATTTCCTTATTTGTCATTACTGTATCTCATAATTTTAATTGATTAGTTTTTGTAGCAGGAAAAACAAATGCATATTAACTTTTTTTACTCTACATTTGTATTATTTTAAAACAAACAGAATGAACATTTTCATACAACAGTAACAGTAAGCTATGAATTATATATCAACAATGCATTCACTCTTCAAAGATTGAAAATTCCACTTTAGTCAAACAGCATCCTTAATAAAACATTGTGAGGAAAAAATAATGTAAATTCTAGTCATTTCATTTCTCAAAAGTTTTTAATTACTAAATCTTACTCATACACAAACTGATTGATCAATTTATGATCAATCTTAATATAAATAAAATTTATTAATATGCATTAACAATTATACATATGAAGAACAAAACTATCTTTTATATGTTAATATTAATCTTATTAAAATTTCAAATATTTTTTAAAANTCTTTACTGTTGATAATACACAAGAATGAATCAAATGACCCAGATAGAATAGTTTTGTTTTTGAACACCAGAGGGAGAGCATCTGGTGAAAAATGCAAATAGTTTTACAGAAAAATAAATATTTCACTTCAACAGTGATTTAAACAATATAAAAATATGTAATGTTTTGTCTTAGAAAGTATCATTGGTTTTGGCATTTGAATCATATATAATGCAAAAGTCAATTTCCTTATTTGTCATTACTGTATCTCATAATTTTAATTGATTAGTTTTTGTAGCAGGAAAAACAAATGCATATTAACTTTTTTTACTCTACATTTGTATTATTTTAAAACAAACAGAATGAACATTTTCATACAACAGTAACAGTAAGCTATGAATTATATATCAACAATGCATTCACTCTTCAAAGATTGAAAATTCCACTTTAGTCAAACAGCATCCTTAATAAAACATTGTGAGGAAAAAATAATGTAAATTCTAGTCATTTCATTTCTCAAAAGTTTTTAATTACTAAATCTTACTCATACACAAACTGATTGATCAATTTATGATCAATCTTAATATAAATAAAATTTATTAATATGCATTAACAATTATACATATGAAGAACAAAACTATCTTTTATATGTTAATATTAATCTTATTAAAATTTTAAATATTTTTTAAAAAATAATATTTAAAAACTTCCAAAAAGAACTTTCTTTTTCTTCTTATGCCAATTTTGAGTAGATTCAAATCTGCAACACAATATTAACAGAAAATTGTTTATTGTTAACTGTAAATTTTTCATTTCCAAACAATAAAAGCATTTTTTTTTTAATATTGTGTTGCAGATTTTAATTGATTCAACTCAAAATCGGCATAGGAAGAAAAGGAAAGTTTTATCAGAAGTGTTTTTTAAATATTAAAAAAAAAACTACTTCAAATTTTAAAAAAATTACAAGCAGATCCTGTTGCTATTTTTAACCTTTTATTTTTTGGTTAATATTAATGTTTCATATGAATTTTATAAAATACCAGAAGATTAATCATTCTTTACATATATTTTAATCTTGTCTTTTAAAATGTTGAAAGCAAATAAATACAATATTGTTTTAATTAATAATAACTGGCACAAATTGGTAATGATATGAAATAATAATCCATGATCTAATTAACATCAAAATAACATGGAATAAAAACTGATAAAACACTTGATTTTTAATTAATAAAAAAAACCAAGTTATTTTTTAGTTTTTTCTTGAATATGCAATTCATAAAATAGAAAACGTATACACATGTAAGTATAAGCAATGTATCTATATTGTACATGTTACGTATCTGTATATCTGTACTTCTATTTAAAACATATTCAGTATAAAACAATTGTACAAAACATTTACAAACACATTTGAATTTCTTTGTAAAAATTCTAAGAATATAAATAAGTATTAATAAACTNACAGAAAATTGTTTATTGTTAACTGTAAATTTTTCATTTCCAAACAATAAAAGCATTTTTTTTTTAATATTGTGTTGCAGATTTTAATTGATTCAACTCAAAATCGGCATAGGAAGAAAAGGAAAGTTTTATCAGAAGTGTTTTTTAAATATTAAAAAAAAAACTACTTCAAATTTTAAAAAAATTACAAGCAGATCCTGTTGCTATTTTTAACCTTTTATTTTTTGGTTAATATTAATGTTTCATATGAATTTTATAAAATACCAGAAGATTAATCATTCTTTACATATATTTTAATCTTGTCTTTTAAAATGTTGAAAGCAAATAAATACAATATTGTTTTAATTAATAATAACTGGCACAAATTGGTAATGATATGAAATAATAATCCATGATCTAATTAACATCAAAATAACATGGAATAAAAACTGATAAAATACTTGATTTTTAATTAATAAAAAAAACCAAGTTATTTTTTTAGTTTTTTTCTTGAATATGCAATTCATAAAATAGAAAACATATACACATGTAAGTATAAGCAATGTATCTATATTGTACATGTTACGTATCTGTATATCTGTACTTCTATTTAAAACATATTCAGTATAAAACAATTGTACAAAACATTTACAAACACATTTGAATTTCTTTGTAAAAATTCTAAGAATATAAATAAGTATTAATAAACTGAAATGATGATTTTGTTATCAGAAAATTATGTATTTTTCATGTGCTATTAAATAATGTAAATTATTATTATATTTTTAAAAATAAAACTTTGTTTATAGGAGGTTTATCTTGTTACAATAAATAATCATTAATATACATATTAATCTAGGATACAAAATTTAAGAGAATAAATAACAATAAAAATAATTCTCAGTAAAGAATTTTTTATTTAGCACACATTCTATCCATAATCAAAAACAAAAAGTATTCTTAAAAAATAATTTTTTTACATTATATTAAAACAATTCCTTAGTTTCACAACAGATATTGCAAGATATTAAAGTATAAAAATGTCAAAATGTATTTCAAACAAAATAAACTAATTTTAAAAAAATGTAAATTTTTCTTAAATATCAAATATTTTATAATCAAATTTAAATGGAGAATTTTCTTCATATAATCCAATCAAATTGCTGCCATATTTTAAAAAAAATTAGTTAGTTCTGTTAATGTGCCATTCTTATTAATTTAAAGAAAATCAAATCCTATCTGTGTACATTAAAATTATTAAAATAAGTAACTTAAAAATCATAGGTCTCACTTTCAAATACAAACAGACAATTTCATAGTCATTATTGTCACAAAATTAAATTATCAAATAAAGGAATGTTTTATTTGTTTCTTGTCAAATTTCAAATTTCTTCATTTTGTATTTCATACTAAACTTTATAAAAACACTACCATTACAAAATTATTGTTAAATAATAATGCACTGTAACAAAAGGCAAAAATAATTTTATCAAGCACTCTGAAACACATAACTATAATAATAATTTACAGAAAGGCTATTTTCTAGTAACAAATTACTTAAAATTTAATTAACAACCTAGCCAATACATCTCCGAAGCATTACGATATCATTCGACAATAACTTCTAGTTTATATTAATTAGTTCGTCTACCAGAAATAAAACTTTAGAAACGAAAACTTAATCTACTTTAAACTTTCAGCTTTATACACTAGCAAAGAATACAATAGAACTAATTTGAAAATACACGTAAAAAGTATTATTTCCATTACTCTTATTTTCAATGTATTGTTTTGTATCTGACAATAATGACTATGCTATTAATATGTTAAATAATTTTAAATATTTAAAGTAATATTTATGAATCAGAAATAACACTGTACATAAGAAAGAAAAGATAATTAATTTTAAGAATTTTAAAATTTCTTATAATGAATAAAAAGGTAGATTCTTAAGTTTTTCTATTTGATCAGTAGCTAAAGTAATGACTATCAATCTTATCTTTTCTTCCAATAGTCTCAATTATCTTACATCTAATGTAAAAAGTAGCTAAATGGTTAATATTTGGTTGAAATTAATTTCTATTCATTTAATTAATTAAACAAACAAAATAAATGCATAGTTGAAAGACTTGCCTTCTGTAATGTCATCATCCAAAGTACCTTTCACTTGTGAGAAACTCCATTGTATCTCACCATTTCCTATTAAAACAGTAATATCAATAAATAACTTATTTTCGTTTGAAGAATTTAAAGTAATAATAATATATATTTTAAAATTAAAACATAAAGATGGAAGTAAGGTTGAGGGACCTCTAAAACTACACTTTACCTGCCATTTCCGTGCAATTATGCACATAGAGAGCAAAAGGTAGGTTATTTTTGATTTTTTCTCTCGACGGATAATTATTATTATAATATTAATCGCAATCGATGTCTTTCGATTTAGAAACACAAAACAGATAACCTTCCAAAATGGCGAACGCCGCCGAACCGGGCATTGCGATGACGTCACGGAACCGGTGCATTTGGAATTGTGGGTAATTAAAAACACGTGATTTACCGTAAATTATATTTCGGAAAAAAATACTATTAAATATTTTTTTTTATTTAAGAAAAATAAATCGCAATTAAAATGACGGGAAGCAATAAGGGATTAAAATTCCTTATTATTAAATTATCGTCTAAAACGTGTGCGATTAATGAGATTTATTTCGTTCTCGCGTACGCGAAACATTTTAAATTACACTTTAAATTTATGTTTATAATTTCTATTTATATATTTAAAATTAAGTATATATACTATATATATGTGAAATAATACATAAATTATTTTCCAAGTTCGATATTATTTATTTATTTTTTTATTAATAAATTCCTTTCTGATCGAAACGATATTAAATAATAATTTCTTCGCAAATATAATTGGCAATTAAGAATTTATATGCATCTCGAATTGTAAATAAAAACGTCAAATCAGAGAAAGAATAATGTAAACTTCGTAGTGCAGTAGCATTAGCAATTCAATGTTAAATTTCGTTGTCAGATCGAAGCGCCACTACAGTGTAGTAGTCGATGGTTGTAATTATTTTATTTTATTTTTTAATTTACTAAGTTTAGCTTATTTTACTGTATATTGTAATTATTTATTTTGAACTTATTTTATTAATTTGTATTTATAAAAGAGAAAAAATATGTCGATCGTAACATGAAAATTCATACTACAACACAATCAACTACAGACAATTCGCGCTTTCGTATGTAACACTTTGATGCTTTTTATTAATAAAAAAAATTATTCTACGTATTGCATTTGTTCAACAAACAAAAGACAAAATGGACCCGCTCTACTCTCGGTCTCATATAAGTTTTCGACGGCCCTGATTTTTCATATTCAAAGTAATATTTTATGTATTGCAATATATTCACTGTAAAAAATAAACTATCCTACCTCAGTAAGAACGTATACGTATATTTTAAGTTTCTGAAAACGAAATCCGAAAGTTAAACATTAAATCACCTTTACAGTTCGACTTTCGGGTATATTTTAGGGATATGTAGGGATAATCGAGTCCATATCAAGTAATTTCTATTAATTACATCACTTGGACACACAATTTTTTTTTTAACAGAAACAAACCTCGATCGAAATTATCACCAAGATCTCAGGTATCACTCGCATTTTAATAGTTTTGGAAAAATATGAAACACTATCAATTATAAACAGTGGTGATGAATACGAGGTAAATCCTCTATTGTACGGTTCCAAACAGTGATTAATTCGTGACTCCATGACGTTTCGAAAATTCGACTTTTGTCTAATTTTTTCATAATCTTACTCTACTATGCATCGTACCTGGCGCATAGTGTACAACATTGAAACATGTACCTGATTAATATTTCTTGTAGCATCTATCGGGAAACAGTCAAAATTGTCACAAGTGGATGTTTAATTAAATTTTTAAACTGGTAACCATTATTTTGTAGATGTTGTTGTTAAGATGTTTTTGTCGTCTGATAGTAAAATTCTGTTGTTAACATTTAATATCTTGAGAACAAAGATATCGTCAGAGGAAAAAATCGGTGATAATAGTTCACGGATTAGATGGAGGTAAGTAAAACGTAACGGTATCTTCAAGTTTTCAACATAAATTAAAAGTAACAAATTTTATTTTCTTCACAAATGCATCCTCTTGTATCTCAAAACGCATAATCATCCTGAACATTAAAACATTGTATTAGTGTTACGTCCCATCATTTTTCATACAAAAATCCCAAGCAGTAAATGTTGTATCAAGAGGCCGCGAACAAGGCCACCGAAGTCGTTCAAGGTCCTCCAGTCTGCTCGATTCATCTAGGCCTTACAATGCTGTTGCAAATGGTAAAAAGTATCCAGAAAAAGGATGAAATTAATTAATGCATTTTTCTGAAATATTTTCATCGTATAAACTGTAGTGTTTCAAGATAAAAGAGGGTATGCTTCAAGGTACATGGCCATGTTGTACCGAGGAACATTTTTAAAAATAGGTTAGAAACAAAAATCTTTTCCCACATGTAGATTCAAGAATAATATATGTATTTAGTATATTATATAAAGATGATAGTTCTCTTTTATTTTAACAGAAACAGTGAGAAAAAAGTATTGTTAATGGTTTCTGTAATACGCTTCTTGTCTAATCTTGTATTCAATTTACGAACTCTACGACGGCTTTTCTTTTCCTCTAGACTTATTACAGTCCTGTTTGTAATTGATAGTGTAATAAGTCTAGCGGAAAAGAAAAGCCGTCATAGAGCTCGTAAAAGTGTTAATGGTTCGTTAAAAAAAAAAACCAGAGTTGTCTAAGGTACAGTACAACGGGTTACCCAATATTATATAGAAGTCACGACGCTTATTATTTTTTTATTTTTTTAATTTTGTTCTTTCTACCTTGTGGGCAATAAGGTCATTTTCAGACCCACCGTGGATTAGGCCAGATCTAGCTGACTGGAACGATTAATGCATCAGCTGCCGTTCTGGTAACTTGCTATAGAATCTGGGAGAACAAGCCCAGAAATATTTTATGAGTGATACATCCCGATTTGATGGACCCCAACTCTAGTTACTCAGTTACTCTCATTGTGAGCCTGCTCGAACTCGCGATTAATATAGAAAAATTAACCAGTGCTCACATGACAGGAGGAGCAAATAATAAATAATTTTTCAAAATTTTCTTTTCATTTGAATAACATTTTATTTCAATGATCCGACCGATATTAAATGTTTTTTATGTTCAATTGTTTGTAGTTATTGTAAGGCTACTGTCTGCTTTGTAATTTGAAAAATGAAATATTTTTTGTTTGGTGTTTGTGAATCAAAATGAACTAAAAATAGTTAAATAATTTTTGAATAAAACATTTTTTTAATAACACTTAAATTGTATTTATAGGAATTTCAAATATAAAATTCATATAGCAAATTTAATTGTTTAATGCTTACGCAAGTATTTTGATAGCTAAATTGTAAATCAAATTTATTCCAAATATTAAAATAAATTTTAAAATTCAATTCAAACATAATATGAAATATTACTTATCATATAAATATTATTTTTATATTTTCCATAATATTCAAAATATATATAAAATATTTTTTCACATAATAGATATCGAGATTTTATTGATGAATGCCAGAACATTATAAAATTTACTTAGAAATAATATTTTTCATTCAGTTTGAGGTTATTTTAGACTAAAGAAAAAATGAAGAAAAGATGATGTAAACGAATATAATGTATATACTTATAAATAAAATATCCAATAAATTCCTGTTAATATTCAATTTAATAAATGTAAGTAGGCCTCAATCAGAAACTTTTCTGAATGTGTCGGTGTTTGCAGCCATACAATTTTTTTTTATTATAGAGCTTGACTATTTTTATCTATTATGCGAGACATCATGCAGAATGAATTATACAGTAGAAACCAATTCATCAGAATCCATTATTTCTAGATTTAATTTGGAATATAGGTAACAAGCAAATAAATATGATTCACAATGGCTAAGTAATAGAAAATAATGAATCGATGACTCTTAACAATTATGAGGATCCAGATTAGATTAAAATCGAGATCTTTTAATGCAATAAGAAAATCCATTACCACGAACAAACTTCGAGACAATTTTTTACTAATTTACCATGGCGGCCTAAATATTATTTAGGTCACGATGGCATGATGACCCTCTTAGTGCCTCAGGGAGAGGAAAAAATGTAGAGTAAATCCCCGCTAACTCGAACTAGGGAGGTGATGAATGTTTGAGTTTACGAAAGTCCGAGTTAACGGGTGCTTCTTTCGACGGGTGAGAAACGAGAAGGCGGATATGCAGTATGGTAATTTATTACGATCAGTTCTATACAGTTTTACTGATTTAATAGGTTATACTGCTGAATTTATTATTACAGAAAATGAGTTCAAAAGTTTCGTGAAGTATAGTATACAGTCTTTAGTAACTTACCGACTATAGTATATCGTATAATACACGGTATCGCAAAGACTTCTGAATATCCAAAACACTTGTTCACCTAATTGTAATTATAATTTTTCTATGGTAAAGAAAGTTTAAATTCCTGTACAGTATATTTTTTTCGAAAAAATTTGTCAGAAATGGTGGGGTTGTTTTATATATAACTTATATAAAGTAAAACCCCGCCAATTATATATATTTATAATTGCCGTTCTATATTTAAATATATATGCAGGGGCGAATTCTCTGGGCTTGCTTAGCATGCGCCGCATGCTTAAGAGAAAGTTTTAACTGTCAATGTACTTTTTATATGAAAACAAATATGCCAATAATAATTTATTCTAACATGTAAATTCTTTTATCATTTGTGTTTGCTTTTACTAGCAGTTTTAAGTCAGTGCAATGCTTGCGGGAATTCGATCGCTTACTCGTGTGGAAGTTTGCCGCGGCAAACAAGTGCGCGAGCATGACGTCATTCGAAGCATTTCACACGGCCAAATTGTATCGAAAGCTTGCGGCACCCAATCAGCATACATGTATTGTGTACAGGGCAAATCTACATAGGGACTAGTAGGGCTTAAGCCCTGGGCCCCAGTGTCAAGGGCCCATAAAAATTGATTATTATCGTAAATTTTTAATACAGTGGTACCTCAGGATACGAACGCCCCAGCATACGAAATTTTCAGGATACGACATGAAATTCGAACATATTTTTGCTCCACGATTGAAACAAAAACTCACCATACAACGTTACATTAGTTCGCTGCGCCATTTTTTATTCACTTCTGTTCATTGGTCTCAGTCCGCTTGTTTGCTTCGTCGTGGATCTCACTTGATAAAGGAAATCTTGAGGTATTATCAGAAAGAGACTGATTTTATTGAAAAGAAACATCCCAAAAAGGTTTACACTGGCCGTATTGCTGCTCGGAGTAATGACATTTGTCTAAGTCATTTTAGAAACATTTTAAAAAGTAGGCAAAGCCAAACCTCTTTGGATAGATATTTTACCAAGCGACCTCTATCCAGT